CTTGTCCTCAGCATCAGGAACCTTGTCCTCAGCGTCAGGAACCTTGTCCTCAGCGTCAGGAACCTTGTCCTCAGCGTCAGGAACCTTGTGCTCAGCGTCAGGAACCTTGTCCTCAGCGTCAGGAACCTTGTCCTCAGCGTCAGGAACCTTGTCCTCAGCGTCAGGAACCTTGTGCTCAGCGTCAGGAACCTTGTCCTCAGCGTCAGGAACCTTGTCCTCAGCGTCAGGAACCTTGTCCTCAGCGCCAGGAACCTTGTCCTCAGCGCCAGGAACCTTGTCCTCAGCGCCAGGAACCTTGTCCTCAGCGTCAGGAACCTTGTCCTCAGCGTGAGGTACCTTGTCCTCAACGTGAGGAACCTTGTCCTCAGCGTGAGGAACCTTGTCCTTAGCGTGAGGAACCTTGTCCTCAGGGTCAGGAACCTTGTCCTCAGCGCCAGGAACCTTGTCCTCAGCGTGAGGAACCTTGTCCTCAACGTGAGGAACCTTGTCCTCAGCGCCAGGAACCTTGTCCTCAGCGCCAGGAACCTTGTCCTCAGCGCCAGGAAGCTTGTCCTCAGCGTGAGGAACCTTGTCCTCAACGTGAGGAACCTTGTCCTCAACGTGAGGAACCTTGTCCTCAACGTGAGGAGCCTTGTCCTCAGCGCCAGGAACCTTGACCACAGCGCCAGGAACCTTGTCCTCAGCGTGAGGAACCTTGTCCTCAACGTGAGGAACCTTGTCCTCAGCGTGAGGAACCTTGTCCTCAGCGTGAGGAACCTTGTCCTCAACGTGAGGAACCTTGTCCTCAGCGCCAGGAACCTTGACCTCAGCGCCAGGAACCTTGTCCTCAGCGTGAGGAACCTTGTCCTGAACGTGAGGAACCTTGTCCTCAGCGTGAGGAACCTTGTCCTCAGCATGAGGAACCTTGTCCTCAGCGTCAGGAACCTTGTCCTCAGCGCCAGGAACCTTGTCCTCAGCGCCAGGAACCTTGTCCTCAGCGCCAGGAACCTTGTCCTCAACGTGAGGAACGTTGTCCTCAGCGTGAGGAACCTTGTCCTCAGCGTGAGGAACCTTGTCCTCAGCGTGAGGAACCTTGTCCTCAGCGTGAGGAACCTTGTCTCTCAGCGTGAGGAACCTTGTCCTCAGCGTGAGGAACCTTGTCCTCAGCGTGAGGAACCTTGTCCTCAGCGTGAGGAACCTTGTCCTCAGCGTGAGGAAACTTGTCCTCAGGGTGAGGAACCTTGTGCTCAGCGTGAGGAACCTTGTCCTCAGCGTGGGGAACCTTGTCCTCAACGCGAGGAACCTTGTCCTCAGCGCCAGGAACCTTGTCCTCAGCGCGAGGAACCTTGTCCTCAGCGTGAGAAACCTTGTCCTCAGCGTGAGGAACCTTGTCCTCAGCGTGAGGAACCTTGTCCACAGCGTCAGGAACCTTGTCGTCAGCGTGAGGAACCTTGTCCACAGCGTGAGGAACCTTGTCCTCAGCGTGAGGAACCTTGTCCTCAGCGTGAGGAACCTTGTCCTCAGCGTGAGGAACCTTGTCCTCAGCGTGAGGAACCTTGTCCTCAGCGTCAGGAACCTTGTCCTCAGCGTGAAGAACCTTGTCCTCAGCGTGAGAAACCTTGTTCTCAGCGTCAGGAACCTTATCCTCAGCGTCAGTTTTTACTCTTGTGCAATCGAGTGAGATCTTATAAATTTGATTATCGCGTATCATGTTTATTATAATAATCACTATAATAATCATAGTTCACGAAACAGGTATCCTTAATTCTCATTTCACGGGGCATTTGTATCAACAATCACGCCTCACGGCTGTAGAACAAATCACACTTCACGACACTAAAATCAAGGATTTCACATTTCACGCGAACAAATATTGACCATTCACGGCTCACGAAAATACCCTTTCCCACCCTCATAAAAGTTATATCCCAAAGCTACCGTGTAATGTTCTGTTTATTATATAGTCCCAAGCAAAAAGTTGTGAAACTTCACGCTCAAAAACAAATCTTCACTAGTGAAGATATGGAAAATATCTCACTGTGTGGGAAAATACCTCACACAACTCTTTCACACATTAATACGGTCGCTTGAAACAACAAAAGTATCGCAAATTTTCTAAATTTGCGATACTTTTGCGATACTTTCATATATTTTCTAAATGTGTTAATACTTTTTAGAGTTAAAAAGTTTAAAGTGCTTAAATTTCTTCAATGAAACGTTTTCATCGAAATTTTGCTGTAGATAGTTGGGATGTAAATTGTTCGACAAACGTCGTCATCAGAAAAACTATCGGCTTATTTCTTATTGGCTGCTGAACAATCGGAAAATTCCGAATATAATACTGCATTCAAAGAACTTTCTTCGGAATTTTCCGATTTTTCAGCAGTCAATAAGAAATAAGCCGATGGTTTTCCGATGATGACGTTTGTCGAGCAATTTGCATATCTACAGCATAATTTCGATAAAAACTTTATTGAAGGAGTTTAAGCACTTTTTCATCTCTAAAAAGTATCAAGCGGCAAATTTAGAAAATATGTCCAACGTGTTTCGTATCTGATTTCTATCTTCAGCAGTTCGCGTTACTTTTCTTGTTTCAAGCGAATGTATTAAATTAATGTTTTCTATAAAAGAGTTGCCAGCCTCAGGATAATATACAAAATGACAATACAATGACGTAATCATGCGAGTATGCATAGCAAAGTCAGGCGAACTTTATGCGTATTTTTAAATGTTTTTAACGCATCTTAAGTGAATACATATATTTTCTGGGTTGCCATGATACTTGTTGCTTTTCAACAAGTAACCATTGTTCAAAAAATCTGTCCTACTTCGTAAAATTTCCTCTTGCGATTCTTTTTAAATTCTTTCCTAAAATTTTTATTGTATATTTTTGGTAGAGTGATATGAAGGCAACAACTTCACGACACAATTAAAGCGAGGGTAGAGAGGAAGGAGATGAGAAAGTGGTAGAAGACGTCGACAAAAATGACGACCAAAAGAAGCCACAACTATCCAAAGATGATAGCAAATGTACGGTTTGTCACTGTTATTTGTGTTCTAGACAATTAAGAGGAATTCTGTTTACTTTTTATTGTTACTCATTAGGTATGCCACCGCATTTTATTTTCACCCAGATTTTGTATTTTTTATACCACATTGCAAGTCCTATCGTTGCGCTTGTTAACTGAATTTTTCCCCATTTTTTATGGTGGTTCACTGTAAATTGAGCGGAGCATGGATGATGGATCATCAACAGAAATGAAGAACAGAGACCAACAAAACAGAAGCAACGACGATGTAAAGATACAGTGAATGCATGTAAGTTTTGCTGGTGCAATGTTTATGCAATAGTTTAAATATTTTTACGGTAGATTTCACAAAACTTTGACCATAAATGTTCCGAACTTCCTTCGTTGTGAAGTTCGCAAGTTCGTTGCGAACTTCAAGAGTTCATAATGAGATTCACAAACCAGTTTGTAAACGACGCATTTAATTGGCTTCTTCTACATCAGGTACCAATCAGGGTCTTTGTTTACAAATTGGCTTGTGAATTCCAATATGAACTTCCGAACTGAAAAATTCGTGGTTAAAAAATTATTGTTACAGCTTTGTTATACTTGCGCCTACCGGTATCCGCCGCTGTTACTCAGTTCTTCCTTTATTTCTGTGTGAATGCTACACCCTGACGTTTGTGTACTTTTGAAATTTTAGCATTTCTATCTTTAAAAGTATATTAAGTAAATGTTTCTATAGTTACATGTGTAGTGAAATATTCAATCTATTTTGTCACTGATGGGAAATATCCCTTCATTTCAGATGAAGGCCTACAACCAACAGATCCTACAACATCGCCAAGATGAGAGTAACACAAGTTTTATCAAGGTAAGAGAAAATCAAAAATAATTCCAGCGATTGTTAATCGTTTCTCATTAAAAACGAAAAAAAAACTATTTCAAAAACTTTTGATAAAATAACTTTCTCAAAAAAATGTTTATTTATCCTTCAGGGAAAAGAAATTTTACATCCAACCACATCCTACGAGCTTGTACGGAGAGAAGACAAAAGCGAATTGAAGATAACTAGATCAACCAACCAATCAACTATGGACCCATCAACAGAACGTCGATGGCTGATCAACAAAACAATTACGAAAATGCAAAAGTGATTAGTAGATGTAAGTGATGTTATAAAACTTTTGAAATACATGAATCTCTCGCTTTTTCAATCCTAGTAATATAATTAGTCCTTTGTAGGATTGCATGGAAAAACATACACTCGTGAGTTTTTCAAAAACTTCAAATTGCACTCGTACTTCAGACTTGTGTAATTTTGATCGTCTTTGAATAACTCACTCTTGCATTTTTTTTTTCAAATTGTACTCGAAACCGTACAAATGCCTATACTAACAACTACAATTTCAAAACGTTGTTTGGATATTTACGTACCGTGCACTATCCCTATTTCATGTTGTTTCAACAGGTAGGAATTTAGTCCACGCTGGTCAATAGACAATAATTTTAGGCGCATTCGAAAAATTATTTTTAAAATATTTTGAAAACAAGTTTTTGAGTTTTTTTCCGCCCGTTTCTGGTGAACAGCAGATTTGCAAAAATATAAATCCGTTTTCGCAAAGATGTACTGGACTTTTCTTCGTTCACTAGTCAAAGTATTTTTGATAGGAATTTCGCGATTTTCCGTCGGAAAATGAGGATTCCCGACCTATAAAGTTATCTAAATGCTTGATTTTTATACACTTTTTGTTTTCGAACTTTTGGATACCCTTCCTACTTCGCAACGAAGCATTTAAATAACAATATTTTGTCAGTAGCAAAAACTACGCCAAAAACAAATAAAACGCTCAAAAATCAAATGTTACATATCCAGGTCTCCAATCTGTTTACCGCGCCAATTTTGACGCGTTTGTAGACAAGATTCCTACCTTTTTGTTGTGTCAATAAGGGAACAAGCCCCTGGATATTGCCCTCGAACATGGTTGGCCTGACGTCACATTAAACACACTATCAGCCTGCACCTTGACCTTCCGCTTTTAATTTCGGCGCTTTTTCACACGAGAAGACCAGGATCCACGCGCTTTGGGGGTTGGGCCGAGGATGGACGAAAGCATGTGACGTCATACTTACTAAATGCTAGCCCAAAATGCACCAAAACATGCCAAAACCAGCCGAGTAAAGGGCCTAAGTCTAGGCTGTCATCGGCATTATTAATTATGTGCATCAATATTTCACGTTTCAAATTATATTATGAATTATTAGTATAATTACATAGGTGATTATTGAAAATTCTCCACGCTGATTGGTTGCTGTTGAGGTGATTATTACGCGATAATCACCTAAGCGATTTTCAAAATGGCGGCCGAAGCCTTTTTGTCAATTAAATGACGAAGAAATGTGTATTTTCTTATTTTTTTCCAAATACTCACCTATGAAATTATACTAAAACAATTATTCACCTCAGGCTCGGTGATTATCGTGAATAAAAACCTCGACTTCGTCTCGGTTTTTATCTCACCTCGCCTTCGGCGAATAATTGTTAAATATTATCACGCAATTTTAAATTGTTATTATTGGATAATAAACGGCGGCAATTTTTGTCTGCGATAATTTGGTGAACTGATTGTGAGGAACCTGGAAATTTACATAACTCAAGCCCTTAACATGATTCGATCCTATTTCATGGACTCATGGATACTTTTTAATTTCTAAAGGTGATGTGAATTGTGATGAAAAGAGATGATGAAAAGACAAAAAAGAACCACCCACGAATGGCATGGAGCCAAGAAAAGAATGACGATTCGCAACAATCGGAAACCACAACATTGCTAATATGAAAGTAGCGAAAAATTTTACGACTGTAAGTTAGTTAAAGACAAAATACTTATTTAAAGATCAAAGGGGATTCAAGCGAATACAATGATTTTCTCATTGAAAATAAGCATGCTACGAGTTTCCCAAATTTTCGACTTTGTTTTCCAATTTACGGAGTATAGAAATAATTGCCATCAAAATCAGGTAAAACGTTTAGATAAAACTTGGCAAAAACGCGATAACGCAGTGTTTTTGCGACGAGCTACAGTCTGTATGGTAACGTATCATTTCATTATTTTTTTTGAAACCAAAAAAATGTTTCCAAAATTGATAGTAGAGAACTGTTTGTATAAAAAAGATCGAAGCAACAATACCTTAAAGAACGAAATCTTGCCTGAAATATTTTCGATTGTAGTCTTTTTCTGAAAACAAAATATTAATCCGCGTCACCCATAGTTAATGTAAAATAAAGATGGCTTGGAATCTAGCACCAAGCATTTCCTCTTTTTCATCGTCAGTTGGTGTTGATAATTAGAGAGGTTAAGATACCCCGATTCCGGTTTACGGGTACGGGTGATATACACGTACCCGTACCCGTAAATCGGGGAATAATTTGTAACTTAAGAAATCCAAGATACTCCGGCGTGAGAAAACCGATCAGAGAATGGCAACTTTCGCTGTTGAGGTTCGCCATAAATTGTTGAAAACTTTGACCAGCATATGTGCATTATTTATTGGGGTAAGATGTTGAAAATTTGTACTATTTAAACGGCCCAAAAATAGTAAACAGAAAACACCCGTGCCCGTTTGTCGTTTACGTGTAGACCCCGGTTTACCGCGGGGAAACGGGTAGAAATTACGGGTAAAATTGCTGACATCAGCAAAAATTGGTAAACAAAATGGCGATACTCGTACCCGTAAACCGAAACCGGGGTATCTTAACCTCTCTATTAAAATCACTGTCAGATGCGGTCCCTATCCATGTTTATATTGTGTTAACTATGGGATAAATCTTGTATTCACAATGAAATCAACATACGATGAAAACAAGCAAACCTATTTCAAGCGTTAAAAAGTTAAGAATTGGTGGATTTATTTTTCCTTTGTTTAATTCCCATGGGAATATACTTTACCTTGTTTTTTATGTTAATTTTTTTTATTTGGCGCAAGCGTATAAAGGTATTCTGCAATTTTATTTTTTTCCGTATTTTTAATTCCCAGGGGAATGTACTATGCTTCGTTTTCATGTTGATTTCATAGTGGAAATTTTACTTTATAATGAATGCTCTTTGATCAAATATAAGTATCTTGTTACTTGCGGGTTTGAGAGCAGCTGCGACGTGCCATGCAAATGATCATCAAGGCGTTCCGGTTAAATAAGTATGAGAATTCCGGTTAAGTCTATTTGAACTATTTTGATAAACAGTACTATATGCTCACTAAATTAGCGACAATATAATTTTCGTTTGGATTTAAAACTCTTATAAAAAAGTTGTAAAAGAGTTTTAAAAATAATTCTAATCATTCTCATGCTTATTTAATCGAGCCTTTGGTTTAGGTAAGTTTAAGGTTTGTATTTACTTCGGATCAGTTAACGAAACTCAAGCCCATGCCCTTTCAGTTGAGATTTTACGTTTCGAACCAGAATACAAAACTCAGTCTAAGTGGGTTATAGGATAGCTAGTGATAACGTAATTTATCTTTTTATTTTGCTTTTTTGTTATAACGTAATTTATTAGGTAAATGTATGGAGTGTGAGAGTGTGCGCTGTGTGTATAAGATGCATGGGGGGTTAGGCTAAGCTAAAGGAATTACAATTTTGAGAGCATATTGAAAGAGAAAATATATCTTTTCTGAACAAAACAACTAATTTCCTAACATCAGCAAAATTTTTTGAGTTCCGTTATTTAAACCAAAACTATAATAAAGCCATATAGAAGGAAAAATCCGGATTTCAAGGTTTCGTATATTTGTCACTTATTTCATGTATATAGGCAAGTCAGAAACTCACCTGTTTGTGTATGCGGTCTTTCTTAATCGTCAACCTTCAATTTATCCCGTTTGCGTTTGGCCTAAAATGTTATAGAAAATATACATAATTAAATAATTATGTATATTTTGCCAAAATTTTAATACCTTCAGTTTTAAGGGTGGGCAGTTTGGGTTGGTGGCAGGTTGGGCAGTTGTGAGTGTCTGTGTGATGGCGAGGAAAGCGGAAGTTACGAATGGAATGCAGGTAGCTTAGGAACGAGGCAGACAGTGTAGGACCGAGGCAGATAGCTTAGAACTGAGGCAGGTAGGCAGTTGGTAGGAATCAGTGGGGGGCACTTGTCATTTCGGCCATGGGATTCAAAATTTGCATGTTGAGTATTTGTTACTAATGCTTGTTGTTTTAGATTTGCTAGGTATGCGCGTGGCTGCTCTCAAGAGAAGATCAACTTAGCAATTTGCATTAGCATATTTGCAAGGTTGGTCTTCTCTTCGCCCCGCTACCCCGGCTGGCTCTCCGAGTGCTGCCTCTACTTTAAGTAGAAGTACTTCTACTATATTGTAGAAGCACTTCTGCTTGAAGTGGAGGTAGCACTTGGGGAGCCGGCCGGGGTAGAGGGATTTTTTTTATTTTTTATTTCAATTCCCATGGGAATTGAATTTTTAATTAAAAAGGAGTCTCTTGTATAATTAATGACAATTTATTGAAAAGAACTTGTAAATCTTACAATTTGAATAACAATAAAAAGAGAACAACCACTGCATACTGTACTTATTTAAATAACAATAGAAGAAAACAGAACATGGCACAAAGAGAACAATTAACATTGTGTTCAACACAAGTGAAAACACAACATTAATTAAACATGTTTACCCGTGAATTAACATTCAAAAAGTTAATTCTTGAGGAAACAAGAGAACTTGGTCTTTTCAAGATAAATGTTTATACTTCAAAATAAATATTGTAAAACAACTCTAATAATGATAAATTTTACGAGTTTGACGGAGAAATCCAAAGCGTAACACCAGGTTGTTTTACAAAGAAAATATATGGCTCAAAGACAAAGTAGATCGAACATGCTTTTACTTTTTTGGATACGAATTAAGTGTTTTTGGTAAAGTGAACAAAACGTTTCACTTGAGTATGGAAAATAATGATTTTATCGCGATGTTTAGATGCTAAGAGAAGTCAATTCGTTGTAATGCGAGATAAGACATTGTCATTGACAACAAATTCTATTGCTTGAAGCAAATTAATTTCCTCAAAGTGCCTTATACTTCATTAAACTCAGAAATGATATTTTTAAACATCGTAATACTTCCATACTCAATTGAACATATATAAGAACATTTTTTCACGCCAAATCGAAAAATATTTAAAATTTGAAATTATCCCGGTCTTTTGGAGCCATATATTTTTTGAGCGTCGTTTTTAACCTGACAACTTTGAATTGATTATATATAATGTTAATACTAATTCAAGTGATGAAAATGCAGTTCAAAAAATTTTTAAAAGAATGTTATTATTTCTCCAATTCTGATTGATTTTTCGAACAAAAATTCAATTTCAATTTGATTTGCTTAAGAAAACGGTACATTTCTCGTCCTTGATAAATACAATAAAATGATCATTGATCCACTATTTTCCAAACAAATATCTCCTAAATTTCATGTAGGAAAATGTTGTCCTGTTTTATTTATATATTTAAAAAAGAACACTTCAGGAAACATTTTTGATGCAAAACAAAAATGTGGTTGATCCAAATTTTCAAATGTTCATAAAATATTTTCTTATTTTTTACATTTTTATTTTTATTGGTCAAAAGCAAACAAAAGGAAATTTTCAATTGGTACACAGGTTATTCTTTGCACAACACAAAAAAAAGGAAACAAGTTTTGGGTATACTTTGTTAACTCAAAAGTAGAAAGAAGATCAAAAACAGTTTTGATCAAAGTCGTCCCAAAGAACAATCAGTTTCCATACAATTCTTAGAAACACTCTCAACAAACAGAATATTATATTGCATTTTCATCAATTTCTAGTATCGGCATTAAAGAAAACCAAACACAAACATCATCGAAAGACATATACAGTAGTAGCAGTTGTCCATAGAGCTTATGAAATTCATTGAAAAATCACAAAGATTGAGTTTTAGTTAATTTTGGACAACATTCTTGTCAGGTTAAAAACAGACCTTTTTGAAGTATAAACTTACCTTTCAACATACTCGTTGAAAAGACCATGTTCAAGTGCCATATAAACCTGTTTTCTTACATTATTATTTTGACTATTATAACACACCGTTACAAAGTGGAAATATTTGAAAATAATGTTGAACTGAAGCAGAAGAAATACATGTAATCATAAGAAAACTAACATTAATTTTAATTGCACAATTGTTAACCACAACCAGCCAATAAAAATTAAAAAAATAAATCTTGTCATCTCAGTATCCAAACCAAAGAACGAAATTAATTAATTGAATCTGATTCGAGAAAAATAAAATAAGAAATCAAAGCTTAAAAAATTTTACACTTAACAAAATTAGGGTTGTAGGTCAGATTATTTAAATAAAAATAGCATTTTAAAATCTAGAACTTTTTTATTCAGATTACAGTATAAAATTTGGTACATAAAGAGCATCTCAGTCATTGCAGATCTTATGTGTGATGAAACACACACAAATTTTGATAAATACTAAAAATATGGTTAATTCCGTGCTTGAATTTTGATTCAAATCTTATCAAATTACGCATTGATTAACACCTAGCACAAGGAACTGTCAATCTTATCTTCAGCCTCAATATTCCAATTATTGGATCGCTTTACCTAACAATTAATATATACTTTTGGAAGCCGATTGTTTTTCATTCCCTATAATGCAAAACATATTTCGAAGAACATCATCCTGTATTCTGGTTGTGGTTTTGCTTGCCATGCATGACAATCAATTTTCTTTTATTTTCTCCATCTCACATTCCCCCCAAATTAAGTATAGTTTGCTGCTTCAGTTCATCCATATTTAAATAAGTTCCACTTTGTAATGAAGTAAAGGCAATATCCTAGCCTATTTCGACCTTAACTGTTTGTTTTAAAGTTTGGAAAATTTTCTTTTTAATTAAATCACAAAGTTTGTTCCAAAATTCAAATTTTTTGTTGATAAAAACAATCGGTTGGTACAAGAATAAAAACAAATGAGGAACACAACACTCTAATAAGTCAATATTGTATAAAACTGCCTTGTTCCTTAACGGATCCATTTTATTTGTGTCCAGGAATTATCAAACTCATGTATTAAGAGTGTGCTGGGATAAATAAGACAGGACTATTAAACAACGAGGCAGTTCTAACAGTACTAATTTTAAAAGTATTGTATACGTCAATTGATCAAAAGTTTCAACATTTGAAGACTCAAATGAAATCCAGAATCAACATTGAAAGAAACATTGTGATTTTCAGATTAACTTTCCATACTTTCAAAAACACTGAAAGTCTACTTAATTAAACAAGAGAAGATTGAGATAAAACACAAATTACTGTTTTCACAATGCAGTTCGATAAGTTCAAAACACAAAGTACGATTAAACAAATGTTAAACAATGCTCTTTTAATCCTTTAATGAAAACATACTCCAAATTAATACCGAAACATGAAAGATGACTAAAAGAAAATCCTGAATTAAAACTGATAAAGTCACATGACTTTGTCTTATTTGTCAGTACTGGTAACCGTTTTGGTTTCTAATAAAAACACCTCAATCTTCTCAATGTTTGACTGATGTAACAAAGTCAAATAATGACAAACTTTTCATTTTTTTATATTTGACAAAAAAACTTAATTTGGAAATATGTAGAAACAACTATGTTCTCAGATAGAACACAGATAAAGTACAAATTTATACGTTTTGTACTTTAAGATTTAGATATTATGCCAAACAGAAAAAATGTATGTCCAAACGAAATTGTCACTGTTAATTTTAAACACAATTTTTCAAAATACAGACAGTTTGTCATTTTCTGGCTTGCTCATAAAATGCTTATGTGCTTTGAAAATTACAGACTTTCTGTGATTGGTGGCAACACAAAACTTAATCAAGTAATCGAGGGACCACAAAACTGAGATTTTCCAAATTAATTTAACACAAGTCGAAAAAGTGGTGTAATAATAGAATAAAAAGAGTGCATTATTGTGCACTCACCATATTTAGGCATTTGGTTGGTTTGGTTAAAGGTTGTTGAATTTTGTGTCATAAGTAAGATGGTCATGCTATTTTGGAATATTCTGCTGGGAATTTCGAAACTATTGATCACAAGCAATCACATAATGTTCAAAGCATTTCATGTAAGATAAGACAAGAAAATATTAAGACCTTTTATATACTTTCCAATGACGGTGTTCATATTTGTGACCAAAAACACTTCAGCCAACAACTCGAGACATTCTTGGAAATTGCAACACACATCTAGAAAATGTCAAAGATTCACTATTGAGAACATGAAACAAATTAATATATTACAACAAAAATTGTCAAAGAAATACAAGGAGGTTAGAACTAATGAGAAAAAAAAAATCATTTACCTCTTATTCAGGATCTTGGAATGTGTCCATTTGTCGTAATCATGAGATCTTGAGGCAGGGGCTTGCGACATTCTTGGAACTTGCACTGTACATCTACAAATATATATGAGAATTTTGCTGAGGATGTGAGTAGCTTGGCTAGAGAGACAAAAAACTCAATATAAACATGTGCAGAGCACCAGAGGCTGACACAAAAAATATTTCAGCCAATCCTATTTTCTCTGCCCTAATGTTTTTCTAGATGTGGTTGGGTTGTTTGTTTTACCTGCCTACCCTACTTTTTGTTGTTTGTTTATGATGTAAGCCAAATATACTATCTGTTGCTTGATATTGTCTGTTTTGGTTGATGAGCAATGTCAAGCCAAAAAATATTTGAAAAAAATCTTATCCGACTTTTTTCAGGAAATGAAACCTTAAAGGGGCCCTACAGTCATTTTTTAGTCAAAAAGCCACCTTAAGTAGGGGACTCCACGGAGGTTCGTTTGGCTGTATCTTACATGCAGTATCCATGAGTATGAGTACTTCCGCACACCAGAAGATGCATGCAAGCCGTGGTCCGCATGTCAAGTAGCGACAATAACAAAAAATGTAAACAATACCTAAAGGGGGCTTTTCGACTAAAAAATGACCGTAGGGCCCCTTTAACCACATTTTTTGTAATGTTCAAAACTGATCAGAAAAATGCTGACCAATCAGCCTTTCTCACACCGCCATTTTTGGGTGGCTTTTTAGCAGAAATCTGCAAGATAAGTCCACATAACAGTGACTTTTTATAATTTTTTTGACGAATGACGGTAAATTTGCTTTGTAAATGGTTAGTTTATTTTGAAAAATTGCATTTCTCATTGCTTTAATTGTCTGCATTGGTTAACAAGAATTAGATGCCACCCAAAAATGGCGGATATTCGTCATCGTGAGAAAGGCTAATTGGAAACGTTAAAATTTGATTGGAATTTTTTTTTTCAGGCTTTTAAATTTAACAAATTATACTGTCCTTTTTATTTTTTTGAAATTCTCTAAATCCTTGCCAGCCCATGTTGAAAAAGGCTTTACATTGCTACTGGTGCATATTTTCAAGCCTGCAGTAGATGTGCTTCAAACCAACAAACTTTAGAGTAATATTACTAGCCCGCTTACAGAGAAGCCCCACCTACAGTATCTATAAGAGCACCTCCCAGCCTTTCGCTGTCAAAATCCACACCAGCCTGAAGCGATGTCAAGAAACACAATTCTGCATTTTGCCTTATTGCAGTAATTTTCACTTATAGTTTTATTTTTAATTAAATTTTATTTTTATTTTCAACTTTTTGTTTTACAAGCAAGAATCAAATAAATTGTAATGTTGCTAAAGCAAGGCTTTTTTCTGCAAATAAATTAACAAAAACACCATTATATTGTCATTGTAAACATTTTGTCGAAAGATTGACATGTATGTACAAGCTGATGAAAATATGGAAATATTCATACCACAAAGTGCGTCATTTAAGGCTGTGTTCAGACCGGACAAATTTTTGGTATGTCCGGAAAATTTTTTTGAGATGACCCCCACCCCTGTTGCCCACATTTCTGGGAAAAAATTTTTAGGTGCCCCTCAAAGCCTGCCCCCCCCCCCCCCCAACTTTTAGATGCTTCCTACGCCCCTGGCCGGGCACACAGTCTGAACGCAGCCTTAACTTTTTTCGACAATTTTAATAATCAATTCTAGATCTTAATTAGTCATTTTACTCACTTGGTCTATAGTATTGACAATAATTATGAACTAAAACACGATATAAAGTTCGACAATCGCTCATAAAACGAACCACGTGCACAGCAAAAGCACAAACTTTATGCCGAAATATCACATTGAATTCGGCTTCGATGTCCTAAATTTCCATCTATATTGGCAATCTAAGTACTCTACTACAAAGATTGATATTAAATAAAGCATATTACCTTCCAATAAAGGTGAAATTGATAAAAAATGTCCTCCATTTTTCTTCCTTGCTTCTTGCCATATTTCTTCACCACGTGGTAAATTCAAAACTCGGAAATGTCCGGCACTCCGTCGGGATCTCGGATCACGATGCAAGTCGACAAATTCCGAGTAACTCTAAAATGACAGGGGGGTCTGGAAATAATATTTAAACATAATTATTAATTACATCATAAAGCAGGGGACACAGAGTTTTTACCTTCAATGTTTTTTACCAGAGTAGATACGCATACAGAGTTATAACTAGTGTACACGCTTTTTTGTGTGCATGCTCAGGAAGTTACTAGATGAATGCATCCCTTTGGATATTGGCTCGCTTCAGTTCAACTGCTTGCGGAACTTGCCGAACACGTGCAGTTGATCATATTTTGCCCGGTCACTGGAAAAAAGTGGCAGTGTTTATGACGGTCAGTTACACCTCTATATAATATGTACCTACTCTGGTTTTTACCAAAATAGCTGGCTGGGGCTGGCACCCCCCCCCCCCCCAC